CCCATAGCCAGCAGCTTTGCTTTAGCTTCCCCCTGCCTGTGGCTGCCTACAGAGAAACAGGCACACTTGGGTGAAGCTCACGGGAGGAGCGGTGCTAAAATACTTATGGACAAGTTCACAGATAAGGTAAATCCCCTGCAGGTAAACAGGCTTCTCGACATTACATTTGCTATGAGTACTGATTTCATCAGCTGGGAAGTACTCCCCAGATTTCAAGATATTCAATAAATGCTCTTAACTTAGAAATTAAAGAGATCAAATCAAAGAAACAGTGAAACCAAAACAAAAGCACTTCTCAATGCTGCTTGGTTGCACAGAGATTACAAAACTGCATCTTTTGCTTTGAAAACACCTTCATGTTTTAAAATAACCAGCAGGCATATAAAGTATGGGGAATAATCACAATTACTTTGGGTTCAAATAACAATAAAGGTGTTAGGAGCTAATTAAAGCAGCTGATGATTGCTCAAAGCTAGAAAAGGAAAAGCTTGTACAACCACTGCTTTGTATTATTGATAAACTTTCTTTTTTTCTAAGTCAATTCAGTTCTTAATTAAGAAAGTATTTTCATACAGTGTAACAAGCATTACATGAGAATTTCATATAAAAACTTACTCTTCTATAGAAGTGAATTTGTTTTCTTGTAGCAGATCAAAAGATCAGAGCTGATACATTACTCTTCTTACTGACACCAGGACAAAGGAAGTTATACTTTGTTCCTTTAGTTCTTGTGCTCAGCATTGAAGACTAGCCTAGTTTTTATTGTGCATGGCAGGAATACACACAATATACATCTCGTCATTTCCCCACGAGGAGAGGAAAAGCAAACAAACAAAGCCATCTTCGGCAGAGTTCTTGCTTGGTGCCTTTTAGTTAGAAGCTGAATAATGTCTTGAGCTCCTCAAATACAGTGTTGTTTATTTCTGTTTGCAGTCCCTCTGTCCTAAATCTGGGTTTGTGTTCATCACCGCACAGCGCTGCACTCTGAGGATAATTGTCACCCACTGAACATGCAAAGCTGTGCAGTGCAGCATTCCTACTAGTGAGGATTCTGGCTTATAAGCTGGGCTGTGAGAGGTGAACAGTAAGAGTTAAGTTGCACAGTCTGCCTTTGGCACAGTTTCTATGACTTGAAGAATGATCTATTGTGACTCCAACTTAAGCCAATGGCAGGTATTACTAAAGGCTCTGTTTACTTTGTGCTCAATGTCTGGCCTTAGAACTGATGTTAAGGAGATGAGTATATTATGTGTGATTTTTATGTCTCTCACACTAAAAAAAGCCTCACTATGAAGAGGTATCATTAGCATTTTTCCACTTAAATAACTCGTGCTTTGGTAGGGCCACAACTCATAAGAATGAACACAGGTATTTCTGCTCTTTGACCATGTGTAAAATGCATGCTTACCTAGACCATCTTGTAAGCCCTTGAATGAGAATTGGGAAGCAAACAGGGCATTTCTCCATTCCCAAGGATAACTATCAAACTACACCCAACAAACTGTCTCAGGCAGCTCAGTGAGTAGGACTGATAGTGTAGACTTGTGCAGGTTGTGTACCTATGCATCACTGCGTACACCCAGGGAGGAAAAGGATGTAATGGCTCATACACCAATACTGGGGTCAGTTTTACCAGGCTTGTGATTGAACAATCCCATGCCTTGGCGATCAAGTCATGTGGGAAGCCTTTTCCATAGTTCTGCTTTTAGACAAAAGCTTTTGCATTCAGGAGAACATTGTGAAAACAAATAAAACAAGACCTTAATGCCAGTTGTTAAGATACATTTTTTTTTTCTCCAGCAAATAAGTAGTCAAGCTGTTGAAAAAACTTCAGAAATGACAGACTACTGAACAAAAAATGGGCAATTTCCACACACAAAGTACAGAGAGGGAAATCTAGATATTTAACTTGCCAATTTCAAAAAATCCCTTGCAAAATTGCTCACAATGAACAAGTTTTGGGGACTTATGAGACTGATTATTGGCTTGGTGTAGCCTAGCTACATAGTTTGGCACTTCTGTAATACTCAATTTGTTAAGTAATTCTAATCATTAGTTTCAGCATGAAATAGTTTTCACAGAGACTTTCTTTGTTAGCCTATGAGATTCTTCACTAAAGAAAGAAATCAGTATGTCAGTGCAGTACTGGACATGTTTGAAGTTAGCAAAATTTAACTGCCCAGATGTTTCGTGAAAGGCTTTCAATTCAGATAGTATTTTCAGCCTGGCTGCCTACCAGAAAATAAATACCCTTCAATTTTTCATGCAGCCACGAGAGTAATAGCTTTTCTTCTCTACCCTCCCCCTCCGCAGCGCGGTTTTTGTATTCAGGTGCCACGGTGCCACCTCGTGGCCAAGGAGACAAACGAATGATAAAAATTCAACTAACAAAAATACGATTTTGTACTAAATACACATAAAGACTTTAGTATGTATTGTCACTGTCACACCTGAAGTATTTAAAGCAACTTGTATAAAAGATTTCCCCATAATATGCTTTTCCTTATGAAGAAGGCAAAATAAATCCTCAGCTGTCTGCCAGTTCTACAGTTTTGCTTTTTAGAAACACTCCCACTTTTTCTGTAAAAACTTCTGTTTGTTCCTGAAGGTTGCTGAAGACCTATTATCTTCCCAGTCAGTACTCCTAGCACATCTCAAGATGAGATTTTGAGATGGATGAGGCAATTTACAGAAGCAGTAATTCCCTTAAGATCAAGGAAATCTAATGAGAACCCTTTCCCCTTTTTTCCCCAACCAGTGAGTTGAAAGGAACTTCCAAAGCCTGCATTACAGGGAAAAGCAGGCCAGTGTCAGGCACAGTTCTGACACAGAACCTGGTATGTTCAGAGCCCAGGGCACATACTGTTCAGCAAATTACTGTGAAATATTTACATTACTCTCCACAGTTCAGGGCTGGAAATGGAGCATAGAAGCTCAGGGACTCAGTCTCTGAGTGATGAGCTACTGAATACAGATGAGACAAAAACACGCAGGTCACATGGGAAGCAACCAAAGCTGAACCATGAAGAAGGACACTAAAAGATCCTTAAGATTTCCTCCGCCTTCCTTCAACTAGTCCAATCCTTTCTGATCCTCACAGGTGGCTGAAGACCTGCTAGGTCACAGCAATAGGCTGTTTGCAGCATGATCCATTAAGGGTAAGGCTGTGAGGTGAAGAGAACTGACCTTCCCTTTTACCCCTCCATGCCACCAACTGGGAACATTTTTGAGCCCAAGCTCTCTGATATTACCAAGTCAAAATGCTCACATAAGAAAACCACCTCCAGTAGACAACCCTCATCCTCTTCTTGAGTCTCTGTTGGAAGCAAGGCAGAGAGAGCCCTCGGCTTGCTTGTGGTGTTCTTCCTCTCATCACTGCCAAGGAGTAAGGCCTTCTAAAAGCTCTGTCTCTGATACCTGTGAAGTCAACAGACTTAGATAACGGGGAAAAAATATCACTGAAAGGCAGTTGAAGGAGGCAGGAATAGGAATAATGGTTTTGAATGATTCAGGAAAAAAATGTCTCATTTTTTAAAGGCAAACAATGTTTCTGAAAGAGAATTACCTGTTAATGTCTTACACAAAGAAAAGCAATAGGTGCAGAGTTAACTAAATGGAGGGGAGCTGCACTAGCCCACTTGCATTCCAGGCTCATGGGGAGCAGCGTGCTGAGCCTGAACTGCTATGGAAAAACCGTGTCCCTTTAGGATTAAAGATAAGTGCTGGAAAGTACCAAGTTCACAAGTTTTGACTAAGTCAGGAACACATTACCTTACACAAAATGGATATTTTGTCAATTGTTGGCAAGACTTTGCCAAAGTTAAATTGAGTAAGTTGCAACTTAAAAGAGTTTGGGAAAATATTTTTTAAACAATTTCTTCCAGCAGCCCAGTCTAAATTCTACAGGTCAGAAGAAATAATAGTACTAATTTAAAAAACTGGAGAAATTTAACCCTTTTAAGCCACTAATTACCTCCAAATATATAATTTACTCATCATTTTAGCAACTGGAAGAGACCAGCTGCCACTTCCACTTCTTCCATTCCAAATCAGCCATGGATAATGGATATGTATGTTTGGGATCAGTCAATTAATCAACTAGCAGTAGCATCAATACAGATTGCAGCTATTGGTATGAACACAACAAGAAGGTACTGGAATAGTCAACAGACCACTCCAAAAAGAAACATGCCCTGGCAACAGAGGTGAACACTTAGTTTCCCACTGACATTTACACATGAAGAAAACAGCACACTATACAGGAATATACAGTGCAAACAAAACCAAAAGTCATTACCCCAAATCGGCTATTGATAAAGCAGATGTAAATCAGAGCAACTGGTAGCCAAAGCAATATGGAACATTTACGTTGCCTCCAAGAGTTGATACAGCCTGTCAGAAAATAAGGTGTGGAAGTTCAGATGGAAACAGAGTCAGACGTAATGAAGTATGGCCTCTAAAACGACGTTTCCTTATTCTCACTTGGTCTTTATAAAGCTGATCTGAATTATGATCAGGTAGAGCCAGTAGCAGTGCAATGTCTTATTTGTGATTGCCTGTAGATACCTAGCAGGAAATACTGCTATTCAAAGCCGAATTTTCAGAAGCAACTGGTACTAGAAAGCCACAACATCCCATCTGCTACAGAAAAGTTTTATTTGCTGTCTAATTTTAATTACAGCAAAGGCAGCTGCAAATAGATATCTTCTCATACATGGCTTATGACTCCAGCACATACATTTCCTGCTCTCTCTGGGCCACTGTAAATCTTATGCCTACTCTCTGCTTCAACATCTAAAGGAAGAAAGGAGCCTCTTTTTAGTCCCAAATGGGCTTCTAAAGGTAATGAATAGAAGGGGAGGTACTTTACATTATTCTTAAGTAGTTCGCCAAATAACTTGATGTCCTCTCCCTCCTGGAAGAAAAGTGATTATTACACTTTGACAACAGATCCACACACTGGATCCGTGTTAGGCAATGAAGTACCAAACTTTTTTTTTTTTTTAGCATTGCAGGAATTGCACAGAACATGGATTTACCAACAGTACTGCAGGGCTAATCCAAGGCACTGCTTATTCAGCCCCTACAAGTTTGGTACCGCCCTGAGCCGCCCACATCATGTACTTAACAGCAGCTTCAGTCTTCATTCAGAAACTGACTTATGCATAAGGGACATTCTAACTGTAATTGTTTGGAAGTATGCAGTGTTTTCATTTAATGAAAATCTTCTTAATCATTACCTTACCTTTTCCCTTTGGAACCAGCTCTGCACTCAGCATAAAGCAGCAGGCAGCGTTCTATTTGCCAGCAAATTGAGCAGGTGAATTTCTAGTGAATTCAGCTTTGAAGTACATACACTCTTCCTGTTCTGATTACTGTAGTTACATAAAATGTTAAGGCTGTTTCTTTAACAGTTCAAATCAAGAATAGCATTTTCGTAATACTGACACTCCAGGTACAATTGCAGTCAAAACTGAGGGACACAGGTAGGGATGAGACAGCATGCATAGCCTTTCTGTTTCTGAGTTGAATACAATAGGATAGCTGGGGGATTCTTTAAATCACACATTACCAGATAGCCTGGTATAGTCAGAGCAGGTTACAAACACATCAGCTGCAACTTGCAGACCATGCTTAGAACAGTCATGTCAGATCCAAGCCTTAAACAGACACTGCTTTGCAAACAAGTTCGTTGTTTAAAGCAGAGTTCAGTCATTCTTTTATGGCTGAGTAAAGATGGCACATGGGCACATTTGGATCGGCAAATATAACATTGGTGAATAAGAGCTGGTGTGGCAGTTGCAGACTCAACCCTGAGGAGCTTCGGCTTTCCAGAGCAGCAAAGAGCCAGTTTCCCCTCTGTGAAAAGTTTCATGGTTCCCACTGAGATTTAAACACTTTTTCTGGGATTCGCTCTGCTCCTTGCATTCCTTCTGTTTCATGCTCTAAGCAGCATCCTGCTTTCTCACAAATATCTTTTTTCACCCATTACAGTTCCTCCTCCAGATCCCTCCAACTCTTCATTTCTCTCTTCATAAATGAGGAAAAAGCCACTACCATTGAACCACAGGACTTGAACTGAAGATTTAGTTCTCCAGACAAATCACTAAACTTCTCTCCACCTCAGCCCCTGACCACTATCTTGAGATGGGGTAAGCTAGTGCAGAGCATTCCATCCTACAAGCAGGCAGTGCTAGGTGTTTAATCTCCCCAGACTTGCCTTTATCTTTCCTTACAAAATTACTTGTACCTCCTACTGGGCAGGGAGTAAGATGAATAATATGACACACAGCCAACAGGTTTTAATAAGAGTCCGCGTGAGGAAAAATAGATTTACATTTTCAGAATGTAAAAGATCTAAAAATAGCTGATATGTGATGCAGAAAATACTTAGACAAGAAAATAAGCAAGGAAAAGGGATATCAGATTTACGATAAAATTGGTATGGATCAAAAAGTGATAAAAATTCTGGATAAAGGGAAAACACAGGAAGAGATGAGTTCTGCATGTTTGGTGGCAGTAATTTCAGGAACAAATAGCTAATGACACTGATCCTTCTCCAGGTGCTGTAAAGGTACACAAGCCGCGATAAGAAAACGGCCACAGGAAGATAAATCACAGAAAAAGAACAACATATAAATGAAGCGTTGTTTGAAACAGGTTAAGCATGCTCTGCTACAGACTTATCAGCTTTCCTCTACCTGTTCGTATTAAAGATGATGGATTCACTGAACACCACAGCACAAAGACAGTACTGGAACTGGCCTGAGGAGGACCCTTCTGACCCTGACACCTATACGTGGAAAGGTACCGTGGAAAGCAGATCTTATGGTAGTTGCCCTATCCAAGTGATTTAGAAAGTAAACTGTTACTGTTTTCTTTGCTCCCTGTAAGAACCTCTATTTTTAAGAATCAATTATTTTCAAAGGAGCAGGTGGCAATTCATTTTATTGAGGATATATTATCATACCCAAGTAAGATAAAAGCAGCTGAGTTCAGTCTGCAAGCATCCAGTAGCATGGGCCAGATAATTTGGATTACAACACTTGAGAGCACTTAGAAGATTCTGTTAGAAATAATAATTTGATAATAATGCTAACTTGATCCCAATCTTACATACTTCAACTTTTTTATCCATATTACTTTTTAATGGGATAGAATAGAAGCAATTGAAACAGAAAGTTAAGTAACACTCCCTGCCAGGGTTTGCCCATATTCTGAGAGAAAACACTGACCAGCTGCCATAATACCAGAGGTGACATAGATGCAACATTATAAAACTCTATTGCAACCAAGAGCAGACTGCCCTCCCACCTTCCTTCTTCCAACATTAAGAAATACATTGCAAACATGTAGGTCTTCAACAGGTGCTCACTATTACTATAAAAACCCTTTAAGATAACCAAAAATTCAATTTTGTTAATCTATGATCTACATTAGGTAGTAATAATTGCAAGTTGGCACTTAGTAATTTAACTATGTAACTTAGTACTGAGTCTACTGCACACTCAAGTGGGGAAAAAAATAATGCATGGACTCCTAGTCACTTCAGGAAAAGGAGAGTGTTTTCTGTTCTCAAGTAATCATTCTATCTGTAGCAATGAAAAATATACTGGTTATTGCATATTGGGCCCACATCCAACAACTGTTAGCTTAGTACCATTCAATTGTCTAAATACCTTAATTAAAAGATTATGAACCAGTGAAACCCTGCCAAGCACTACAATGGCTTCAGCTGAAGGACAAGAGTAAGTAACATATTGCAGCAATTCAGTTCTCTTACTACATAGTCAGAGCACTATCAATAGAGCTGCCAGTTGTTATCCACAGTGAAGTAAAACCCAGAAGTGCGAGGCAGCTCTAGTTTTTTAACCAGTGTAAAGTTTCAGGTAGCTGAAGCTTCAAGCATCACAAGCCCTCTAAATATTAGGCCTAGACAGCATCACTAAGCTTGCACTGTATTTCAGAACAGGTACCAATACAAGGTATATCACTAGGCCTGATACTCACTGCCATACCCAACCTCAGACACAGATGGATGACATTGTGTTCATTTCTCTGTCATGTCTGCTAGGACTAAAGCAGCTAATGTTGCAGCTCCACATGTGTTGTTACATCAACATAACACAGCCATAACACAGTGCCTGGGTTCACAGCACAGAAGTTGCACAGCACTGTAAGTTACTGTTTGAAAATAAGCTTTCTTCAGCAATTTTAGTACTGTAATCTTTCCATTAGAATAGGCTAAAGCATTCGCTGTCACATGAAACTGCAACAGACACTGGAATTTACATTACAGAAATAGGGATTTATCATTTGCAAACAACAAAATTTGAGTTTGCCTAGCTGAAAGCCTTCCTCTCATCACATAAAGATGCAAATCTGTCCACTATAGAGAAACGTTAAGATAATCTGTTCAAACCAGTATTGATCTTCTGACTTTCAGAACAGTTGCTGGCTAGTGCTTACCATTAGTAGGTTCTCCATTTTCTAATCTAGTGTAACCAGTTAGCACCAGCAAGACTGCGCCCTGACCTGTATGCTCACATCAAATTACTGCACTCAAAAAGGCAATTGAAACCTCTACCCTGATTTGGCTTGAAAATGCATCTTATCACTGATGTTAGTACTAGTCAGCCACAGCAACCTTCCTCCCCTCCACCTTCAGTTAAGAGAAGGTTCTATAAAAGCAAATTCAGAAGTCTCCCCTTCTTGTTTCACTGTCCGCTACTAAATGATTTAATCACTGCGACAGTATCCAGATACTTCTAGAGGTTGAGAATCATCCTGCAGAAAATAATGCTAACCACCCCACCCCTCCAAATGGTATTTACATCTGTAAATACAGCTGATTAATTAAAACTAGGTCCAGCACTATTTCTTTCAGTTACTCATAACTTTAAAGTTTACTCATGAAAGTAAACACCATATGGACATAATGTTATCTCCAGTGCTTTTCTTTCCAAAGGCTTGCTCCTCAGCATCTGTAGGACAGGACTCAAAAACTATTTTTGAGTAGTTTGCATTATTCCTTTCACATGCTTGACTTAAAACTTACAGACCTTCATTCCTATTCCATACTTGGCTGCAAGTCAGCAAGTATAAGAGCTCCATGGTGCTGAGATCTAATAAAACTTGACAGATGTACAGTCCTACAACTAGAGATTACAGCAGCTAAAACACTAGAAGGAGAACTGCACTTAAGTTCAAACTACGTGATTTTAATGTATCTACAAGAGTCTTCCATTGCTTTTCTTCTCCTAATCTAGCATTGTATCCCATTTATGTATAGGAAACCAAGAGCAAAGGTAGCAATTAGAAATCTAATGATGGCCTATCATTTCTTACTACATAATTTAATGAATTGTGTCAAGGTTTTATAATAGTCTTACCTGTGAAAGTGAAGTGTTGTTGAGCTTTAGAAAGCTCATGCTTTAGTTGTGGACATGTCTGTAGACATGCAGCATCCCATACTATTACATTTTTGAGAGCAGTCTTATTAAATTAACATTTACTTGAATATTCCTATGTGAAAAGGTTAGCTTTTCCAGTATAATCCAGGGGGCTCTGCCTTTAACGAAAAATCAGATGAGAATTGCATTACTGCTAGCAGTTGAGAAGAGCCATTTCAGCCAACTACACATCAGTATATAGACAGTACTGTAGAACTTAACATCACACACCTTAACTATTCCAGGAGCTAGAATTATACCCACTCACAAGTTAGCACACCAATGCAAAATACATTCTTGTGCCTTCAAGACAACAGAAAAGCATAAAGACGTTCCAAATATCTTCAGAAAAAGAAACCCTAGAATGTGTTTGACCACCTCCTTTGTTTTGAATTGCACATTACTAAGCATCCCATTTTAGATGTCATTTGGCACATTCAGAACAATGCAAGTCTTACATCTCACCTGTGCATAGCAGTGAAATAGTTGAACTTCAGAGAAGTTGTATCAAAACCAATTTTAGTAGTTTTAGTTATCTGCTTTGGCAGACAAGCAGTAACTCACCAGCCCATTCCAAAAGGTTGTCCTTTCATAGGAGTGTGGAAAGGAGTTCAGTCCTTCGCTAGATTTAAAGTTTTATTATAGAAAGTTCACCACATTAGTCGATTAATATTTACATTTAAGTAACACAAACCAAAACAAACTAAAACGCCTCAATTTTAAAGTAGGCAGACAGACAAAGTTACAGACAATAGTAATAGTGATTATTTCACTCTGATTTAGTCCAAAGTTTTAGAATTTCTTAATCAGATTAGCAGGAAGAGTAGATTTGTCCAAATCATCGAAGTACGGGTGGTTCAAGGCCATTTTGCCAGAAATTCTTTTTGCAGGATCATAAATTAACATTTTCTGGAAGAAAAATGAAAGGAAACATTTACTCCTTCATGAAATGGGTACTCAATGCTAAATAGATTAATATTTAAACATAGTAATGATCAGATAACTAGAGATAAGTTCTTCCCTATGTTCCATATCTCATAGAAGTCATTTTTTACTTTCTCTCACAAGTGAGAATTAATTATTAATTAATGTCTAACATCCCAAAGTGAAAAGCCATTTATCCGCAGCCAACACCTGTATCAGGGTACTGTGTGCAAACAACTGAATCCAGAACCAATTAGCAAGTGGAAATAATTATTAGTCTCAACTTCTCAATTAAGGGAAGCTAGTAAACCTTAGGCTGCTAAAGCCTATAATACTTACATGAACAAGTGTTCATGCACTTGTTTTGTTACACTGATACTGAAAAAACTGTTACACTGATACTGAAAAAACTAAAGCTGCTTATTTTCAGTTTGGTGCAGCTGTTCAGTTGAAATATAGCAACTGTTCAGCTATAGGACCCTGGTTAGGAAAGAAGTATACTGCATGTCTAAAGCAGATGGACCTGGAAAAAACAGTTCTAAATCATGGATTTCTTTTCAAAAGGTTCAGCTGAAGAATTCAATAATGAAGTTGATGAGAGAAAATACAATGGATGCCATCCTCTCTAAAATAGTCCTCAAAACTTTCTAGAAGAGAGGCAAGAAACTTGCTCTGCTATCCATTTAAAAAAAAAGCATCCACAGTTTATATTGTACAATCTGGCCAAAAAGAAATATGAAGCTACCCCATGCAATTGTATGCTCACATGTAGACAATTAATTCAGATGGAACTCCTGCAGTCATCCTTCCAAGCTTTACAAGATTACATGGCTTTGGGACAATTCTAAGTTTTCATATCTAGCATAATTCTAAAATATCCTGAATGCTAAAAGCTTACTTAAAGCTACGAAAATCCTTGTCAAGAGTCTTCCATTTTACTCATCCTTACTAGAGGAAAATACACTTCAAATTCAAAATCAGTAAGTATACTACCCCTTTTTAAAACTAGCTGTTTTACATATTGCTTCCATCTTCAACAGTCTTCAGAAGTACAAACACACACTCTCATTGCCACATCTATGCTATTGCTCTAGGAACAAGCTATTCATTTTTGTTGCCTTTAAAATTGTGTCACTTCAGCCCAAAGCAGGACAACAGGAAATTTAAATGGATTCCAGATGCCTCAAAATGCAACCATGCCACTGTTAGTAGGCAGCTATAGAAAGCTAAAATTTTAGTCTTAATTCAAGGCAAAGCTTTATGTAAATCAATATGCTGTAAGATTAGTATACTGTTAAGATCACCTGACCAATGATTTTTTGTCTGCATTAGTAGCATCCAAAAATATGCTTTTTCCCCATGACGAAGCCACCACTAAGCTCAGTTCAGTACTTAGCAGGCCAGTTAGATGACTGTATCCAAAACACTCACTTGCCTGTTCAGTTGCTTTCAGCTTTTAATCAATAGCAATTCCATTTCAAACTGATTTAATAGTGATGCTATCAGTGCACAAGATGAGGATAATTACTCTGCAAGTCAGTTATTTCTATAAAATACTGCTATGAGCTACAGAGAGCTATCCAAAAAACTTTAACATTGTTCAGTCTGGCAGCCTGAACTGTGGCTCTGTTTTCAAGAAGAACAAGTGAGACATTGTAGTTATTTGAACTCCTTGAGTAACACCACTTTATTGTACACAGTAAACAACTTCTCTTGTTTGTGTCCACTTAAAACAGGAGCCAGCTACAGTGATAATTGCTGTACAGGGTTCCTCTTGTAGCAAGGTGGTTCTGAAGTTCCAGCTTACCTCATGATGCATAGAACAACCCCTGCTATATGCAAGTCTGTACTGTGTAAATGGATCCTTAGCAAAGCCAAGCAATAAAGTCACCAAGGTACATTCTTAAAGTGCACATCAGCACATCTAACAATTAATGCAGATTCATCTGCAGTGGCAGCACGTGAGCTAAATCAAGTCTGATGAGTCTAATAGACTTGGCCATAGTATTTTAACTGCTTGGCCATGGAATTAAAGTAAATTCACCCTAGCCACAAAATACACAAGTTAGTCATTCAACCACAACCTAAACCTCTAACTTGATATTAAAATGCAATTGACAGAGACCTTACATGCTGACCTAAAGAGCCTCCAGTTTCACAGCTAATCAATAAATCCAGATGTTTCCATCACTATATTCATTTAAGACCCCACAAAAGCTTAACCAAAATGAGCCAGTCACTATCAGTCAACCACATAAAAATATTTCCAACTACATGAATAGTCATACAGACACATCACAGTTAATTTCTACAAGCCTGTATCCGATACCTTCTTGGCACCGGCATTAAGAGAGTACTTGAAAGTACTTGCTCATTTCTTAACAAGCAGTTAAGAGAGAATACTTACTGACAACAGATCGAGTCCATCCTCATCTAAGTTTTGGACATGTGTTCCCAGGCTGCCAGGTTTCCATTTTGGGAAAGTGTTTTTATAGTCTTGCAAGGATTCCACGTCAGGCCACACATCATTGTTGGGTGTCCCTAAAGCTCTGTGCAAGCATAAGCAAAACATTTGATCATTTTAGTATGAAAACTGTATGCACAGTTATGATTTTACTAAGTTCACAGCAAGGGAAAGTTTCAGCATGACGTACCTGAAAATTCTGAAGAGCTGGTCAATCTCTGAATCCCCATGGAAAAGTGGCTTTTTAGTTGCCAACTCCGCAAATATGGTACCTATGCTCCATATATCGACAGGAGTGGAATAACGAGCAGATCCTAGCAGTACCTCTGGAGACCTGTACCACAGTGTCACTACCTATTGAACAAAGAATATTTTTAAAGATAAGTTTATGGAATTATATAGAATTTCAGAATTATAGAATTGTCTAATTGACTGCAACCACAACGGCTCATTCATTACTAATGAGCATTCAGCTTTTTTGATAAGAATAATATCCTGTTTAGACTAGAAGCTACAAGTTCCAGTGAAAATACTTGCATCAAACTTCACTTAAAAATAAGTATACAAAATCCTATTGCAGTAGTCTCTACTGCAAGCAAAGCAGTTGCCTGCACTCCTTCACAAACAGCAGGAAGCACATCTTTAGCACCTGTCTGGCCTAACTCACTGACAAGGTAACAGTGGCATTCATAAGATGCATTAGCACTTTAGAATAAAATAGGGACTGGGGGTTGGAAAGCCATCAAGTAAAACTAAGCTGAAATATAACCTTAATACTTTAGTTTATCAAAAGCTCCGTGACTTTATTTTCAGCTTTTTCATAAACAATTAGTACAAGGAAGCTAATAAGCCTCATCCAAATTACCAAAAGTATGTGCAACTCACTTCATGAGTGTATACCCGCACTGGAATTCCAAAGGCTCGAGCCAATCCAAAATCTGCCAGTTTAATCACCCCTTTGTCATCTATTAGAAGATTCTGAGGTTTTAAGTCTCTGTGCAAAACTCGTCTTGAATGGCAGAAGACGATACCTTGCAGGATCTGATACAGGTAACTCTGCAGACAATGAGGTGAGAGAGGAAAAAAATCATGACTTTCACTGAAGTAGGAGATTCTACACATAAAGCTGTTTCCTTACATTAACTCTGCAAATAGAATTAGATCCTAAGCATTGCAAATACTGAGTTCAACCAGAAATCCATACAAAATTGCATGTTTGAGTATAGTTCAGGGCAGTTCATTTCATAGCTGCATTTGAGAGCAGAACTTTCTTTTAAAGAAAAATTCATCTTAATATCCACAGCTGCCTCTTCAGTCTTTCCTTTTTCCTCAAGGAAATATGAAGAGTGAAGATAAGAGCAAAGGTTGCTTATAGCTTTGTAGAGTACCTTTAATTTTTAAGTTATGTTAAGAAATTATCCTCATTACCTTAACACGTGAACGATCCAAATACTGGCCAGATGGAATAGTATCCAAGTATTTCTTAAGGTCCATGGAAAGAAATTCAAAAATGAGGTACAGCCTCGCATCCTGCATAAGAACATCCTGAAGACTGAAAATTGAGGATACAGTCAACTCCACTGCAAAGTGCACAGACCTACTCGTTTGCTTCCCCTCTCAACAGGGACACAAGCTGATGTTTCTAGGTACCTAATAAGAAAGGCTTACAAAGCTTTCTTTCAGTCTTCAAAGATTAACAGCCTTAGCAAGTCGCACTGTTGTTTGGAAAACTGAGCATATATGAAACAGTGCCAAACTGAGACAAACATCCTGTATGCTTCCTCTGAATCTTGTATTTCCTCATGCCTAGCATAAGGCAGGGGAAATCTGAGGAAAAAAGTGAGTTCTGCAGGTATTAGTGCCTCACTTCCAGCTGAATCTGGCTCACTACAGCAGAATTACTGGAAGAGTTTAAGGGTTCTGCATTAGAAGAGTAGGAACCTACTAGATGCAGCAGGAGTTGTACAGGTATTTAAACATCTCCTCCATCCTTAATAGATTATAAAGGTTCCTAAATACATGCATTCATTCACTGCGACACCACTCGGCTGAAGCTTGGCCAGTTTCAGGCCGCATTAAATCCAAGGGATTTTGCTACATTAAAGCACATGTCTTTTGTAGGGAAGACAACAGCTACAACCAATTCTTCACATCAGGCAGCCACTGATGGAAGTTTCAGGCATGGATCAGAAGTGCCCGCTGATAGCATTATAGTGCAGTGCCTACAGCTCTGCTATGGGACAGTAAGGAAGTGCCTGGCGACAGAGGCCCACATCAAGAACACCAAAGTCAGATGAATAAGTCCACGATAACAAGGAGTTCTGAGATTGACTTAAACAGTTTTCAAGAAGCACGCTGTCACCATTTCTTCAATAACCATTCTGAAGATAATTAACAGATATACTTTTGTTCAATTCTTAGAATAGGTGCAGCAGAGGACAGTCTTAATTAAAAACCAGCGTGCTCCCAGGATTTGGGACTGAAGTGTAATGCCTACTTCGCAGCACCTACATAGAATAACTGCCTCCTTGCTACAACAGTGGGAAAACAATTTATCTGAAGAGACGTAATGCCCTACAGAGAGTATGGCTGAATACCAGCATATGCGTACCAGACTATATTGGGATGACGCAGCTCTTTTAATAAAGAAATTTCTCGGATAGCAGTACTTGGAACACCTTCCTCCTCACTTTCTAGACGTATTTTCTTCATTGCAACCACTTGGCCTGTGGTTTTGTGGCGCCCTTTATACACAACACCATAGGTACCTGAACAGGGAAACACATATAGGAAATACCAGTTTCAGGTGCAGATAAGTTATTACAAATAAGAACTGCTATATATAGGCAAGAATCCTTGCAACACAGTTTTCTTAATAGTGCTATGGGTCACAGCAGAAAATAAAAGTGGAACCAGTGGTGAATCTCAAATTAAAGAAAATAACTATTTGACCATCATTGACAGAAATAGAATCCTCAAAGCAACCAAGCAGCTTAAGTATTCCTTTTCACTTCCTGAAGAATGAATTCCTCACTTGAAGCTGTGACTGGTTTCTTTCAAAAAGAAAAATGCAGGCACGGGGCTTCAGTTATGAAGCACTACTATAAGCACCAAGCAGTGCACTGCAATTCATCTGGAGCTTCTCAGAGTAATGCACTGCAAATCTTCAAGCATATGTAAGGCTAAAGCATTGTAAAAGACACCAACTTCTACATTTGATAAAGGAAGGACTCCTAATGAAAGGGAAGTTATGACAAACATCTACACCAGTTTTCTACAGTACAGTGCCTTATAGTAAGCCAACATAGGCTCCCCAGGGAGGTGGTTGAGTCACCACTCCTGAATGTGTTTAAAAACAATTTGGATGTGGTGCTCAGGGACATGATATAGCAGAGGGTTGTTAGAGTTAGGGTAGTACAGGTGGGCTGTGGTTGGACTTAGTGATTCTTTAAGGTCTTTTCCGACCTGAGCAATTTGATGATTCTATGAAAATGCACTTCTGCACACAGGTTCACAGTGTTGCCCTTCCTGTGACAAGTGCAGCGACAGGACACAACCCCAGCAAAAACACCTGCACACCACTTCTCCCTACTAGGGACTCCAAACAAAAGCATGCCCGAAGTGCAATTTCAAGAGCAACTTGCAAACAGGTGCAGTTGCAAAGGGATAGATACATTCCAGCAAACAGGAAAGCTGATTTCCTGACTCAGAATGCTTTTACCCTCGCAGAGACATGGTACACAGTTGGCCATCGGTATGAGGGGAAATGCCTCCCAGCAATGCTCAGCTGCTTCAAACAGACTGTCACAGAATCACAGAAGGGCCAGGGTTGGAAGGAACCTCATGGATCATGAATCTCCAACCCTCCTGCCACACGCAAGGCCACCAACCTCCACATTTAATACTACACCAGGCTGCCCAGGGCCACCTTCAGAAGAAAAGCAGCCTGAGTGCATTTACACAGAGAGAAGACCTCATAGAATGCCAGAAGTTCTCAGATAGCAGGGAGTCACAAAGCATACAACAGCTGGTAGCCCAAGGCACAGAACTTTGCAAGGCTCCCGGCAACCTTACTCACCTTCCCCAATCTTCTCTATCTTTGTGTAATCCTCCATGGCTGTGAGTGTACCTGGAACAAAAAGCCACGAGGGTCAACAGGAGGTCCCTGAATGCAGACAAGACCCAGAAGTTACACCAGGACGTCGGAAGCTTGCATAAAGATTCAGTGTGGAACATTTACCACTCCCCCTCTACAAAAGGAGGCAAAAAAGTGTTTGTTCGGGAACCCAGTTAGAGAGACGCCATCCCCGAGAACAAACGCGCACAGCGTCAGAAGGGAAAGATGGCCTCTCGAGGAAAGCCACGGAGAACTCCGCTCTCGGGCGCTTTCCTAGTTACGCGTTAGCAGCAACGCGCCTCGGCTCGCGAGACCGCCCGCCTGCAGCGCACGAGGACGGCGGCGCCGCTCCGCTACAGCCGCCGCCCGCGGCGCCCCCAGCCCGGGGCCCGGCGCTCCGTCCCGCCCCGGGAAGCCGCTGCGCCACGCGGGGCCCCGAGCGGCGCCGCCCGACCCCAACCGCCGCGGCCGCGGCCCAGCTCTCAACGCACCACCGGCGTGTGCCGCGGACCGCTCGCACCGCTGGAAGCCCGAACGGAGGGACCGCGACGCCGGCAGCCGCCACCCCCATCCCGGCGGGGCGGGGGGCCGGAGGGCCCCGAGCGCCCGCACCCCCCGGCGTCGCGCGGCCGCACTCACAAACGACCGCCCGACGCCGGCTCCTCGCCCGCCTCCGAACCGCCCGGCGCCCCTCGGTCACCTTCCCGCGGCGGGTACCGCGGCGAACCCGAGGCGCCGGCGCCGCCGCCCAGCTCCGCGCTGCGAGGAAGTCCTCAGCCGGGCGCGGGGGCGGGCGCCGCGCATTCGAACCGGCCGCGCCGCGCCGCCGCCGCGTCCCACCAATGGCGCCGCGCCGAGATGATTCAAAGCGGCCAATCGGCGCGCTCCGCTCCGGCGGCGCCTAAGCGAGACCGAAAAGCGCCAGGGAAGATCGGCGCGAGCTGCCCGTCCCGCGGCACAGCGACCCCGGCTGGCGTGGAGGCGCTCGGCGCGGCACCGGGAGCGGCGGCCCGAGCCGCTGAGCTGCGGGCGCTGAGGAAGGGCCGGTCCTCGGGGCGCCGCGCCGTAAATTCATCGCGTTCGGCTCCGAGGGCGCTGATCCGCCACGCACTGCTACGGCTTGTTTAAACCATTGCTGAAAGGTCACCGGCCGCTTTAATGCCACAAAACATACCTCTGTAGAAAGTTAAAGCCCTGCCTGACCGCTCCCAGATTAAAATCAATGAGTCGCTGTGTTATAAGAGCTTTCAAAGAAGGTCGAGTACGTTAATGAAGATGTAAAGCCGGAGTCGGCCGTCCCCGTGCTCACTGTGTTGCTGTAACAGCGCACAGAAAACAAGAGCTGTCGGGACTGCTTGTTGTGGGAACAGCCACGAGCACGGAGCAGCTGTCCGCGATTGTTTGCTGATGGCGGGGCTTGTGCTCTGCGGGCAGACAGCCACAACCCAAGTTCGCATCCCCCGTCACTTCGGTCAGAATTCTGCCCCATCCGCTGCAAACCTCTCACCCGCTGCTGCCAGCACCGAGCTGGCGCGCTGCTATGGAAGCCTGCGGTCCGCGTGGTACTGACGCGTAAGCACGGCTGCGCGCGGATTAACTTTTTTATTGGTTCTCTGCAATGGTTGGCGTTTTTGAAACACAGCGTGGCTGCTTGCTGCTAAGTTTAAGCGGGGTGGGCTGGTCTCTAAAAATCCGCGTGGCTTTTCCCAAGGCATCTCTGTCAGATGTTGATCTCAGCAGGCAGAACTGCTTGCTGTGCACTTCCTTCTTCCCTATTGCTCGTGGCAAAGGCGAGAGGCCGCTACCCAGCTCCTCCCCCTCCAACATACATCAGTTTCAGCAACAGAAATCCTCCACGTTCCCCTCCCTCAAGGGGAATTTTTGCCTCTGAGAAACAGGCAGCACACATGCCTCCAGTTTTTGTTTACCTTGAAGCGTGTGTTCCCAGCACTCGCTGAGATTACCTGCACAGAACAAACCCGTTGCATCACTTTGGGAAGCCCTGGGCAGAAGTACAGCCTCATATCCTGTGCAGTTTGTAGGGAGTGAGTCCGGCATGCTTTGTACAGGCACAGAGAAGCTCTCTCCCGTGTAATGAATCCAGCACAGCCCAGGCTCAGCAGCGCACTGACTGGCTGCACAGCTGAAGCAAAGTGTTTGTGACACATCCCTCAGGCCTGACTGCACGGCCAGCACAGTCAGCCCATGTGTGCTCAATAGCTTTGGGGGGCTGCACTGTGTATCCAGCACAAGTCACAACCACTGCCCCTGACTCAGCTGACCTGGTCCTTGTCCACAAACTATAGGAAGGTGGTCAAAATCTTCCTTCCCCTTCAAATGAACGTGTGGCAAATCTCAGACTCGCCAAAGACTGAATTTTTTAAATAGCATTCTGAGTTGCACAACGAGCAACTGGCCAGGACCTTAGGCCTTCCTTGCCAAACCAGGGCCTGAAATAACAAGTTTTGACCTTTTTACCATTTTTGTGTGGCATGCTTTAGAAACAACCTAGGATGTGCGTGGCTTTGGGATCAGTCTGATGGCTGTTGTGCTCTAAGCCCAGTGTAACAGCCCCCACCATCTTATCTGTTCTTGTGACACTGCCTTAGTACACAAGTTGTGCTGGCTTAATCACAGGCTAATCAGCTCAGGTGTTACATGCTCCAAACACGGTGCTTTCTCACTGTATAAAGGTTCTGCTCAGCTTCCTCTGAAGGCCAAACACATTAATGCCATGACGGACCCGTACTTAAACTTGCCAAGTATCAATTTGACAGTTCTGAATATCTACAGTTCTCCTCCCTCTCTCCATTGTCTGGCTATCCCCAGGATATAAGACATCTTCCTTCTGACTGGATATTGCTTATCTCATTTTGATTATTGTTCTAGACACAGCAATAGCTAACAGTACTGCTTGACACAAGTGCAGCTGATACATTTGTATTTGCTTTTGTGTGTGAAGCTATAGTAGCCAGTGGCCTGCTTACAGATGAGTCATAAATGCACAGAGAAGTACCGATTTTGGAATTTCTAAGCATTCCACAGGATTCCTGTTCCCATTTAAAACAAGAGTTCAGATGCAAAACTGAGGAAAGACTTAAAAGGCAAACAGCAAAGAAATCTAGTTCTACCTTGGCAATATAACATTAATTACCATTTTATTTATATAAACAGGCAAAGGGCGAGTATATTTAAACCCATTCTGCATTCAATTCTTCTTCATCCACTGAAGTGCTGTTTGTGCAAGGAATATAGGATCAGACCTACAATGCCAATCTCAGATTATAGTATTACTGTTGTATTCATGGCTAAGAATCCAGAGTAATACTCTGGACAACTTCTATTCTGAGTAGAGGACAGCTGCAAGAGTCAATATAGTCTTGTCTTCCCTATAATAATTATATTATCCCCAACAACAGCATCACTGTAAAGAAGAGAAACAGTGCATTCTGTCTTTTACATAATGATGGGATTTAAAAAGTTGACTTGTTTGTAAATAGTAGTTAGAGAATCTAAAATGGACTGTGTCCACTGCATTCAAAAGCAGATAAACACAAATACCGACTGGCTTCTAACATCTATTAATCATAAGGTATTATTTTGTCACTATAACAAAGCAAAAGTACAGTAGGAGTTACTTGCAGCATTTAAGGAAGTAAGGTAATATTAGAGGGCAGTACCTCTTGAACACAGCACTTGTGTGATTATTTTAGCTTGTTAATTTTGCTTTGCAGGACAATTCCCACTGTCAAGAGATACAGGGAACAACTTTGCTGCTCACATCTCATATTTGTGTTTTGACTGCAGGCAAAAAAAAACAAGCAAAAAAACTCCCAACAAACGTTTGAGAGCTGCTAAGGGAAAAGAAAAAAAAAAAAAGACCAAATAGTACTGGTTTTCTCAGTTAGAGCAGACTTAGGTTTTCTCCGCACTCCTTGTCGGCACACACTTCTCCCCGCACCACCTGCAGGGCTGTATCGCATCCGATAGCGCACGTAAATCCCAAACCTCAGGCAGGGAGCACAACTGGAAACGTGTCCTGCAGCGAGGGAAGCTCGCTTCCTTCCTTCCAGGTATCGCTCTAGCTGCCAAGAAAGGAGAGATTCTCTTCCAGAGGGGAGCGTAGATGAGACAGGGGAGGAAACGAACTCAAGATTTACACACAAGCATCACGCTTAAAAAATTCCTCCTGCCATCAGTCGCGTGAGCCCGTCTGTAGGCTGAGGAAACGGGTCCCGTCTAATAAGCGAAATACAGACATTAAAAGCGCCGAGGACGACCACGAGCAGAACTACTGCCGGCCGCTTCGGGCTCCGCGCTGCGCCACCACGGGGCGGAACGGCCGCGGCCCCCGGGAGCGACGGCGGTGCCCCAGGGCCGCCCCGCCCGCCGCCGTGCCCGGCTCCACCTGAGGGGGCGGCGGCGACGAGGGGCAGTCCTTCCCGCCGGTGGCAGCGAGCCCGGGACGGCTCTGCCCCCGCGCTGGGAGAGGTGAGGTGCCGAGCGCGCTGCAACATGGCCTCCTCCTCCTCCTCCTCCCCCGCGGGACGGGGCGGCCGCGACCAGGTGAGCGCGGGGCAGGAACTTGCTGCTCTCCCCTCTGTCCGCCGACGGCGCTCCCGCCGGCTGTTCGTAGCGAGCGGCTGGGAAGGGTCCTTTCTGCTATCGTACATCGCGCCCTACGTGACTGCCATGGGACTCTGCCAGTGCCGGGCGCTCGGCTCCTGCTGCGAAATGCCCGCGTTGTATATGTGCCTGGCGGTGTCACGTGCCGATGGCGCTCACGTGCTGGTACTGATGGGCTCGGGGAGTTGCGATATTAAAAGCGTTACTGCCCTCCTCTTCCAGGTGTTACTTTGTTGGTCGTGTGCTTTGGCTGACGCGATGCAACCTACCTGCCGTAGTGCTGAGATCTGCCGCGTTATTGCATTTGTTGGTGGATAAATATCTGGTTTGTTTTCTTTCAAAAATCTGATCTTTGAGCTTTGCAGTGGGTCTGAAAGCCTGTCGCAACGTAGGAAAGAAATCAGCTTGCCCTTAAAGCTGCTGTTGTAGCACTGGACTACTTTGCTGTTAAGAACTTGGGATGTAGAGAAGTAGGATACTTGTTTAGTTCTTGTTCTCCTGCTGTGGTTGTTCTGAGGGTCAGTGAGCTGTGCCTGGAGGTTGCTGTCAGAGCTGTGTTTTGCCCAGTGGTGCTTCCATCTGATCAGTTTACTGAGCTCAACAAGTCTGGCATTGTCTAAAACTTGTAGGACGTTACCCCAGATTCTAGAAGTTATAAGTTCACGTACTTCATTCACCGCTTAGTTTTATGTAAACTTAAGGCCTTCATGGAGAAGGGAGGAGACAATGGTCTTACTGTTGTGCAGGAGAAGAAAAACCCAAACTGTTCAAATACGAAAGCTGTGTTATTCTCATAAGAAAAAATATTTACTGTTTGTGGAAAACTGATTTCCCAAAATAAGCATTTATGTATGATCTGCGGTACTGCAACTCCAGTCATCGCTGCTTTGAAAAACAGTGCCTTTTTTTCCCCAGTTATTGTAAGCTCTGGGGCATATGATGGTTTAGAGGTTTAAAATGTAGCATACAGGTCAGACTGCCTGTGTCTCAGTTTCAGATAGCTGTTTGGTGTAGGCTGTTTGCTATTCATCTTGCTTTTAGCCCCACATTTCCAGCAGTTTCACTTTTTTCTACTCCAAAGTTCTTGAAGCTTTCTCCTGACATACTCTATTTATCACTATTTTCCTTGGAAACTGCATGTTCAGCACTCTTGACACCATG